CCATCTGGCCGTGCGATTGCTACACCAGAACTCTTCCCGGAGGGAAGTCATTAAGCTGTAAAAAATCCATTTTATTTCACATATCACATGTGCCAGAGAACCCCAAGAAACACAACATGATCCGCAAACGAAAGTCTCTCTCCACTATTTACATTCTCATAGCTGAATATCTTCGTATTCTGAATATGGTTGGCAAGTAGGCGCCGAAAAGGAATTTTTCTCTTGAAAAATTTATCCATCTAAGACTTTGTGTAAAATTGGTATAAAATATACACGATCCCCTTTACCAAGTTTCATTATCACAATGCCAGAGTGAAGAAATCCTGCCACGGATGAGGACCGTGTAGGATATCGACTGAGGCTCACTCTTCCTCAGCCGGATTTCTCTGTGCCTGCATTGTAGGTCACCAGGACAAATCCACCGATCCCCGCTCCCACGATTAGGACAATAGTAAAAGGTCATGACAAATGCATTCCGGATCCAAGGTGAGGGGTATAGCTGGTCTATAAACTATGGTGTGAGCACAGATCAGAGAGATCGCTGCCAGCACAAACCTACAGAGGAGCCTACCACCTTCTCACTGGGCTAAATTGATTCCATTGGTGCAAATTACTGATGCCTGCCATAGGACATACAAGGCCTTTAAATACATTCATATATAGTACCTAATAATATGTTAATATGAACATACCAACACACATACAGATTTTTATGCCCCTTGATAACTGAAAAAGAAGTTACTGTTACTAAGTCAAATGTTAACACAAAGCTCACTAAACCCATTTTTATAAAGTCAATACAGACATATTCACCATAAAAAGACATGAAGGATTCATCATGAGATGAACTCTGAGTCAACAACTAAAAACCATCTCTACCAGTGCATCGCTACCATCTAACCCACTCTAGGAAAAGCAAAAACCAAACTCTATAAATAAAATCTTGAGCCAAACCTCTGTCGGAAAAGCAGGAAGAACTGAGTTCTCCAAGCATTCGGTCCAGGCGGCCACGTGGCTTCCCTTTCTCTGACTTGTGCTTATTCAAAAGCCACGGGGAGCCAACATTTAACATCAGTGAAACACAGCGACATGTTTGTTCACCAGTCTGGCAAAGGGAGAAGACCCTCTGCTTTGTAGTACTAAGCAAAACATCCTTAGCACTTTGGAGGCTTACACTCGCACACTCTCAAGCTATTTGGAGGTACCACTGAAAACCCATTACTATTATGCTGTGAGCAAATCGCAAGGAGATAGAAGTGCGAGGTCGATACCTGTGTTCAAAAAAAAACCAGTGATTTTTGAACACAGGCATCGGCCCCAAACAGGCTAAAAGAGTTAAGTGATATGCCACCCTCTGAACATGGATAATAAAAGAATCATTTTACAAGACTTAAGTATTAACGGTCTAGTTCCAGATTTATGGCAGCAGTAATAAGATTCACAAGGAAAAACTATTAGGTGAAATGTTTCTCCGAGGAAAGGATCAAAATAATCCCAGACTACTTAAACTTTTGGGAGAATTCTTGTTGTTTGTGTAATAACCGTAGCTACATGCATTGTTTTCTGCTTCAAGAACAATTAAGTACTATTTGACTTTATGAATATACACAGTAGTTTCACGTAGATCATTTCTATCCTGTTATAGGCACGCATTCATTCATTTGAAACAATCTGTGTTTCATTTGTCCAAACTATTCTTCTACTTTTAGTATTATATTCTTTATATTACATTAGTCGGTAAATGGGAATTTGGAATGAAGGAGAAATGCCAGGAAAGAAAGAATTCAGAAATCCTTTGAAATATGGCAGTTCAAAGCTAGAACCAAGGAGCCACACGGCACTGCCTCCCAGTGTGAGACGAATATGCTGCTGAACATGTGCC